TGGTCGTCCTGTAAACCCGTGCATTTGAAATGCCACCAGGCCTTGCAGGCGTGGCATTGCATACCGCGTTTGACGTTCGACGGGCAGCCATTCCGCCCACATCTATTGTGGTCTACCAATGGCTGCGGAGGGCAATCGGTATGAATTGACGTCATGTTTCGGACTGGATTTAAAATACGTGCGCGCAAAATATAAAGGGTTATCACTCAAACGTTTTGTTAGGGTAATAAAATTCAACTCGTGTGTACTCTGCGAATAGACTGAACAACGAAAAAAAATTTTCACGAATTTGAGGGAGGGAAAAACGAAACTGATTTCGAAATTACAGCGAAAGTACTCGCTTTATACAGCCGAATGGACGTAGCTCACGCCATCGTCACGCTACTAGGGAAAAACGAAACCGATTTCGAAAGTACAGCGAAAGTACTCGCTTTATACAGCCGAATGGACGTAGCTCACGCCATCGACCATCACGCTACTGGGGGCCTGAGACGCCTAGTCAGTTAGTTAAATGCAACTAACGTTACTAATACCGGATAGATTAAAGAACCTGGCTCACGTGCAGGTAGAGTACTTGCAGTGATGTTAAACCGTAACTTCATGAACTTCACTTTGTACCACCCTTGGGCAAATAATGTGAAGGCGCACTGGTGTTCGGGACATATTGAGCTGGGCTTCCGTGTTTCAGTTCAAATTACCAGCATAGCAATTGACCGTCTTCCTGCCACACCGGTGAACTTCTAAGGACCGAGGCCTGGGCAATTATAACATCGAGTCATATGCGTGCCTACTTTGGAGAAAAACCTGGAGATCCTCACTGCCCAGGATGGAACGGTGAATATCGCAAATGCCGCTGGGGTAGTAATAGCGGTCCCTTGAGCACCAGCGGCCGGCGGGGCAAACCACAAAGCCATCTGGGTAAGAAACTACTATCCTCATTCATCGATTGCAGTTCATCCGTCAGGGACGTTGCATTCCGTGGTAGTAGGATGTATCCCGTTTTCTTTGTTTCCGCAAACCGTCTGAATGTAATGGTAACGGCTTGAAATCCGGTATAAAATATTACGTTCCTTGGTCTGGTGTAGTCCAGAGGCTACTTTTGGCTGCTTAAAAGGAACTAAGAAAACAGAAATAAGCTGTCTCACTGCCTGCAACGAAGTGACCCCTGAAAACTGAGAACAAGTCCGTGCAATGGAAGTACACTGCCTAAATCAAGCGGGATGTTCATTTGCCTGCACGGATACCAACCAACCTGAAACATTTGGAGGTTGAACTAGGAATATTAAGTCAGTAAATGTAGAATGATCCAACCTTCGCAGTTCCAACACTATGTTATTGCGGTCCCTGGAGTCTTGGCACTAGCTTCCCCAGAACAAGAGAAGACGCATATGTGTCATTTGGCTGACACAGTTAAGAATATAGCCCAACTCACCAGGATATTCATTTGGTTGCCGTAATACCATTAGAGCGCAGGTCACGATGGCCGTAATGTATGCACAAACAATAGTCTTTACTGTGGCTGAAAGTGGTGAGCTGCGGCACGTAAAAATTAAATACAATGTGGAATTTGGAGCAAGTCAAAATGGGAACTTGTCGTTTATGAAAGTCATTTTGTGAAATCCGCAGTACAGGTGCTGAACCTGTTCCGTAATTGTTCGTGGACTTGTGGAGAGTGCTTGACTTCCTGCCCCCTGCGCGCGCGAGTCTGTGTTTTAATGTGTTTGGTCTTCCTACACGCAAGTACGTTTGCGTCTACGTGAGTGTCAGCACATGAGTTATGGCTAGGCTCGCTAAACAGTAAGGACAGTCAATGTCAGATGAGTCACCTTTGTGTAACATGGTTTATGAATGTAGAAAAAAGACGAGTCTCGCAATCTGGTGAGCGACTGCGAGCTGGAGAGTGAAGTATGTGGGTGAAGGGATCGCAACAATACAACGTTTGCTTCTCGAATTCCCGTATGATTCGCTTAGTGAGTGGAGACACATGTATGCCGATTGTACAACCGTTTTTTCAAGCGACCACTGGTATTCTTCAGAAGTTTGTTGGTCACTGCAAAAATTAATCACCCCGAATAGTGCGCAGTGAGCCAGCTTGCAAGTGGTATACAGCCTGTAACCGTGGGGTAAAAGACAATTCTTGGCTGCATGCGGTAAGGTTTCTTCAAGCAGCGGCGGAACTTTAGTTAGGAAGTGGATGAAAATAAACCCTACTGTGCGGCATTCCCCACATGCGCTCTGCCATGCATCGGCCGTTCGGAGAGGGTGTCTGTAAGCAAAATGCACGGTTGCGCATGTGTTTTGTGATGGCGACGAAAAATAAATGAATGGCGCAGCCTGGCACAAAGGCCGAATACGAACCGCTCTGCTGGTATCTGGGCCACCGTCTTCCTCATGGCAAACAAACGTTAATTTGGCGGCATTTGCCTATCGTCTCCTTGGGCAAGTTAGTTAGCCAACGCATATGAGCGAAATGTTCGCTTTCTTCGAAGGTACACCTCACTGGACGCTCAGTAACCATTCAGCCTACGAGCTCGAAGATGTGCAGCTTGAATCTACGTGTCATAATTTATCGCTTTAAAATGGCTACCACAAATTCATCCTTCAATGTTTAACCGGGACCGAAGACAAATCATCTTCCAAGACGAAACGAAACTGGCAGTAATTTGCTTGGCGGAGCCAGTCGGTGAAACGAAACTGGCAGTAATTTGCTGGGCGGAGCCAGTCGACACCACCGGCGGTAGATGTAAAAATCCTGAGTGGTAAAGATGTTGCTGAACTCACTGAGTAAAAGCTGCCGAACTTCTAACGGCAGCTTTCCGGATTTCAGCATGACATTGTCGAACTCCATTCCGGATAATCGTCGGTTTAAAGCCTACCAAAGAACCGAACAATGACGAGCGTGCAGCCGTCCATCTTTCAGTAAACATCTCCGAGGTGACGCCCTTCTCATTCATATCAGTGTAGCTTCAAAATTCATTGGACACCAAAAATGCGAATAAAGCTGAATTCAAGCAACTTCCGGCAAAACTGTTGCACATTATCCTGCTTTTAGATCCGAGCATACATATGGTGAAATGCAATATTTTAAGGCAAAAGTTTCCCTTCCACACGCATACGAGGATAAGCGCGAACACACAGCAAGCGGCGTTCCAGGCTTTGGATGCGAAATTTGTCTGCTTTCGTGTAGTGAACTTAACTTCAGCCGTTCATCACACAACACTTAGGAGCTATTTGAAGTCATTTTCAGATGTCTGTCCAAGTGAGACCTTGCACTGGCCAGTTTACTATCTACTTCTGAGAACCTGACTCGCCGCGCCACACACTTTTCCCTTTAAGCCTCCAAGCTAAACGAAGCCACTGAACTAAAGGCAAAAGACCCACATGGGACGCTTGGGCGAATTCCCAAACTCTGTATCAATCTGGGAATAAGTGATACTGAACCTATCTCAAGTAATGAAGCATGCGACCGACTACCTTAAACCCGCGTGCAGAAGCAGCAACTACCCACCGAAGTTTATGACCTTTCAGCTAACTACTCGCACAAAAACCTGCCACTTGTTTTAAAAGACCACGTGTGCGGCCATTAAGTGGTCGCGGGTTTTCAAAAATCTGATGGCCCCAAAAGTTGTTTCTGGTAAGGCTGCGAAGAAGTCCGCGAAGGTCAAGGTGCCGAAGACTGAGAAAAAGAAAAAGCGGAGGAGGAAGGAAAGCTATGCTATCTACATTTACAAGGTGCTCCGCCAAGTACATCCGGATACGGGAATTTCTTCCAAGGCGATGTCTATCATGAACTCGTTCGTGAACGATATCTTCGAGAGAATAGCGGCCGAAGCCAGCAGACTTGCTCAGTACAATAAGAAGTCCACAATCACAAGTCGAGAAGTACAAACAGCTGTCCGGTTGCTTCTCCCTGGTGAACTGGCGAAGCATGCAGTATCTGAAGGTACGAAAGCTGTCACAAAATACACGAGCACCAAATAAACGCATGCGCTACACTGTCACTCTTGTCTTGTTTTACATTTACTCACAATAAACACTTCCGACAAAACACTTTCCATCAAACTGTAAGTTCGGACGGCCGAGACAGGGGATTTGGGTCAGTTACCAAATGGAAGCCATTCGATTTGTTCCACCCTCTTCTGTGAAAACCGGTAGTCGTTCTAACTCAGGGGATTTCTTTCATAGATTGTCGAATTTTGGGTACTGGAGTTTCGTACAGAAGGCTGGAAAAATAATCATCGGTCCTGACTCGGCCCTTGAGAGTGCTACCTGTCCATTCTGCTTAGGAACTGGTCGCGGACCCCATAACTGCATCACATTTGAAACCGCTAACCTAAAGCAGTGGTAATGTCCATGCTGTGGTCGAATGGTCTGAAAACCCCTATCATCATCTCGCGGCTGCAACAAGGTATTTCTCGGCAATGGGATGGCACGAAAACGTTACTTTCCACAGTATGGTGGGGTAGGAACATTAGGCAAACTAAGATGCCTGTAGACAATATGGAGTATCATCCGATAGACAATTCGCATAGGGGACCTGTCGCCGCGTAGCTAGATGTGCAGGGTTGTGTTTTTAACTTGCAAGCCTTTACTGGTGGCTGTATCTACTCGGTTCGGGCCCCAACGGGATGTTAGTTGTGTTTTTAACTTGCAAGCCTTTACTGGTGGCCCCCAACGGGATGTTAGTTGGATGTGGAGATCGCTACTCCTCTTCTCAGGAATTGTTAGTGGCTACCGGACTGTGAAGAAGGAGAACAGGAGTCCCGCTCTTTTACTGGTTTCATTCCGTTGAGGCCTTCTAGGGCATTTTACTGAAGCCATCTGCAGAGACTCGAGGAATGCAAATAATGACTTGGTTGGAGACAGCGTTCATGGTAGCAATGATGTTACCGATTCTAGTCTTTTTCGAATCTCCCAGGTAATGTCCAGGACCTAATAATGACAGTCACAGTATCGCCCAATACTGTGTAGTAACAAGTGTATTGTGTTTTCGGGTCGGATGTCCGTGGGATCCGGTGTCCACCCAGCGCAACTAATCTTCGGAATAGAACCAGGTCCTCTCGCGTGCTGCAATACGATTATAGCTCCTGG